CACTTATATGACCTTATTGTGTTGCAAGTGCTGTAAAACTCTTACTAAAAACGAGTTTCAAAGTTCGGATATTTCCAATCAATTGCTTTTCTCTCCGGATCTTCAATGGGTGGACCCGAGTATGCCTCGAGCTCATTATGAGATGATTCCTTCTCACGGACATGGATAGACCATCAGATCCGCTCACAACAGCACGGCACGCAAATGCGGCTCTCAGAATTGGTGTGGGTGGTTGATAGTTGCTCTGGTGTGGTCTGTTCCTTATTTCCTATTAATATTAAACATCTATCGTCTTTGATCTCTTCTTTTTTTTTTCTTTGTCACTCTTATAACACCACTATATTCGGCTGTTATACGGCCTAATTGTTTTGTATGTAAATCTATTACCAAAACTCATAGCATGTTCATGTTCTTTGGCGAACGCATGCCCTATGGTGATAGCTAGATATTAGACTGGCCTTTTTTTTCAACTTGTAATGTGACCGTTTTGTCACCCCGTGTATAAGACCGGTAAAGATGATTCAGTAAACGAATTAAGCATCACGAGAAAATACTGATAATTGTTTGCTTCGATTATTGTGGCAATTTTTTTACGCAATGGTTGATGCTTTGAACTGGGACATAAATAACCCCCACTTTGTCACTGAAGTTTGTTTTATCTAGAACTTTTTTTTATGCCTGTTGTACTTTTGCTTTTTTCTTGTAACACCTTACAGTGTACTAATGAAGAACATTTTGTTGTTGTTGTTTTGTTTTGTTTTGTTTTTCGAATGGTTTTTCATTGTGTCACTGTGGAACAATAAATTATGTTGGCTGGGTTAGTGAAGTGAAATGGCAGACTAACTAAGAGAGTTTTTATGAAGTTTTCCGGGCCTTAACTTCAACACTGAGTTCACAAAAATCAGAAAAACATGTAGCATATCTAAAGAAATGGCTGATGATTGAAGCATGATCTGGGGGTTGAAGGTGGTGAAATTATTGAAATTGCCTTGAAAAGAAACAACAATAATATTTTAAACATCAACAAATCAATTCAGAAATCAAACGAAGCAAAACAGATAATATTAAGACTTCGACTCACACGTCCGTCGGTACTATGCGTCGTGCGTGTGTACTCACGTTCTCTGCCCATGTTGTGACTCCTCGTCTTTTAAAAGTCGATCAATTCGACGCCCACCGATTTCACAAATGTCCTATAGTTTTCTAGTCTGCTATCCTAGTTGAGCGGGGAAATCCGTGTATGGCAGCGCAACACTAGCTGTGAGCTATCAAGTCCGCACTTGAGACGTCGAGAGGGTCTTGATGGTTTTTCAAAAGGCCAAAATTGGCTTAGTCCGGACCACCTCCCTGGATTTGGTAGTTGTGGGGTGTAGGAGTGCTGAGCTGTAATAATGTCCCCGGCTGTTGGAAGAACATCGCCAGTCGCCCCCGGCGTCGTGTGTTCCCGGTTCTTCTCTCACCTCGTTGGGAGCGGCGTGGCTTCGGGCGCCGCACAACTGGGAGAGTGTGTCCGGATCAATAGCCACCAGTGTCGGAGGGATAGGTCATCGGAGGACACTAGCGGGACGGACGGACGGACGGCTGGCGAGCGCGCGGAGTGACAGGGGTGGCAGCTTGCTGCTGAATGTGCTGCCTTCTACAATTTTGCAGCTTACTTGAAATGAAAATATAGTATTTTCTATTTACTTGAATCGTGTTTTGTAAAAAGTTATTATGAAAAAAAATACGACC